ATGGCAAATGCTTTTATTATACAAATTACTGTTCTATTTAAGTCATGATTCTTGTTGCATAGTTACTTGCTTTGCAGAATTCAGTCAGGTGTCTGGCCTGTAAATACTCATTTGTTGATGAAATTCAGTTTGTACTTTTGTTGCATCCTCTTCCCTGAACAGGCTACAACTTTCAAGCTAGGAAAGCAAAACATTTTCAAGCAGTTTCATTATAAATGTTTTCATGAAATCCTTATGTATATGCCTTTGGAGCTGCCCTCCCACAAAACACCCCCTGATTGTATAGTTTCTCAAAGAACTGGTCGCCCCACTTTCCTGCCTCCCATTTCTCCCCCTGAATCCTTTGCTTTCTTCCTCCCTTTTCCTTCTCTGCTGCTGCCTTTGGTTCTTTTTCCATTTCTATTCCTTTTTTCTCCACTTAACTTCCCTGTCTCTTCTTTTTCCTCCCTTTTTCCCTTATCATGCCATTACTTGGACTGAAACTCAATGCACAGAATTGTTAGTTTGATTCCAGTTTTATTTATCCTTTGGATATTTAAAATAATGATCCAGGTAGTTCCCCCAGGAGGGTGCTAAATTCATTTTCCATCTGTTGTAAGAAAGTATTATGACATGAAAGGTAACAAAAATTCTAACCAATTCAGACACTGCAAAATGCAGTAAGGATAGTTTTCCAAACTGAGAAGTTAATTTTTTCCTTAACCTTTTCTTTGTCTTTTTTCCCTTCCCTATTATATTCAAAAACTATTAAAGATCTCTGTAATCCTCAATATAGAAAAACAACTTTAGTTCAATAGTAAATTAATATGGAACATGAGCTTTAATTTTTCATTTCTATGTTAAAAACTCCAAAATACTATGAAAAGAGAGCATAGCTCTCTACTCTTAAAGCAGTAGAAAAGAAGTTATATATTCAATACTAACCAGTTCATTATTTCTGAAAATTTTCTTTCCCTTTTTTTTTGACAGTATTATCTGTTCTTTACCATTGTCAAGGAATTAAGTTTTTATTTATTGATGCAATCATATTATTAACAGTATTTGACTATTGACCAAGAACTCAAAGGATTAGAGCATAGTAAAATGCCACTAACAAAACTGTAATTTAAGTTTTCCTTTTTATTAAATTCCCCTTTAATAATTGCAAAAACTAACAACAACAAACAAAAAAATGACAAAGTGACAGTAAACAGAGATTTTCAGACAAACAAATTTTTATGAAAATATAGGGCTTGTATATAAAATGGCTTGTATATGAAAGTTTTGATATTTTCAAAGCTTCTGCTGTTCACGTCTTTTGCCTTCTCATTACAGATCATTTTGTTACACTCTCCAAGTGGAGGCCCCACATCATTCCACAGTGGGAGCCACCTTTGCAATCATTATTGATCCCATTCTTGAAAGCAAATCACATGTCTTTCAACTTGTCACCATAGAATTTATGTAACTTCAAATTGTAAACTGAATGTCCCATAGACAAAGGTGGCATCCTAACTTTCAGTCAGAGAAAAACTGTCATGTTTTACGCAACTATGATGCTTTTACGTGGATTATCTTGAATTCTTACCAAATCCCAATATGAGCAATATTACCTTCATTTTACAGATGAGAAAACTGCTAATCAAATCAATATACCAATGTTGCGCAAATGCACAAAATCAGTAATTATTCCATATAGACATTTAGTTCTCTTTGGTAAATACCAATGTCCTGCAAAATAGCAGTTTGCCAATGATTAGTAAATGTTTAGGTTCATTTTTTTTATTTATTGTAGAAAGAACATTTAACCTGAGATCTATCCTCTTAACATAATTTTAAATATACAATGGAGTATGGTTAGCTATAGGCACAGTGTTGCAGTGTTGTACAGTTGGTCTCCAGAACTTATTCATCTTATAACTGAAACTTAAGGCAGCAGAATTTGTGAAATTGACATGTCCCTCCATGGATTAGATTAGATGTGCCTCTAGGGGTTTGAAGAGTCTCCCTTCTCCTTTATAAATGACAGACACAGTAGTCAGAAAAAGGACTAGAATCTTTTAATCTCCTCACTCCTACCAACTTGCCTCTGAATGCCACATCCAACCAAGCAAGACACTTGAGGACACACACTGTAAGAAACATTTCCATGGCCTAATTCTGCCTGGCAAAATTGCTGGAGTTTTCACAGCTTCAGGACCATGTATACTGCTTCCTCAGTCAGGTGTACATTTTATGTCCAGTCAAAAGGAAACAGCAGTACTTGTGCAGATTCTTGACAGCATATGGGCAGGATTTAGATGAATGAATAGTTGCACCTGGAAATCAAGTATCAGCATAGGTAGATCCCTTCTGCTTGCCTAGGGCAGCCCCCACCTAACCCGACTGACCGGGAGGTAGCTGCCAGATCGAACGCAATGCACATGTCTCCCCCGGCTCCCCCTCTTGCCCACACAACCTCCCACCGTGTTCCTTGTCCCTTGGCAGTATTGCAAAGTTGGTAAGGAGTAAAGGAACCCAGAAAATAGAACAAACTATGTTTTTAAAGCAAAACAAACACATCACCCATTGAGCTGTTAAAACTTTTCTGAAAAATAAAGTTTAGTCTTTTAAAAGGTTTTGTTTTCCTTACCTTTTCTAAAACATCAATATTTTTTGTAAAAATCTTTGGTCAAAGATTTAGAAGACTGTCCTTCTTAGCTTAATTTTCAGATTGGCTAAGATGATTGTTGAGCAAGTGCCATCTTAGAAGTCAGCATCAATAATGTCCCAGGCACCAGCCCTGATTCTGCGTGTTGGCATAGTGCTAACTGCCGGTTTATTGCACTGTACACTGAAATCTAGGGTGTTGCTTCTGGTAGGTCACCAGTACAGGATCTTGTTTTTATCTGTTCAAAACGTATTTTTTTCTTAGGCATGTCTTGTAACTTCTTTGTAATTTAGTATCTATATGTATGCTTTAGAGGATAAAAAGATAAAATGTTGCAAATGTGTTGAAAGCTTTTGATCACTCTGAAGCCCTAATTTATCATTCAACATCTCCCATATAAAGATAGCTTTATAAAACCAGCCAAAACAGGGTTTCAGGAGGAGGCTGCCCGGGAATGAAGGAATGAGAAATGAAATAAAACTAACCAGTAAACACAAATTCTTCAGAGCAGAAATGACAGCACTACAATAAAAAAGAAGGAAGGAAGGAAGAAAAGGAGAGAGAGGGAAGAAGGGAAGGAAGGAAGAATAAGCTAGCTTTATTAGTCAAGATTGTCACAGTTCATAGACAAAAAATGCCCAGTTACAAGCAAACTTCAAGTAATGAGCAATGAAAACATCTGGTGATTAATCTTTTTCTTATGTGGTCTATAAATGTGGCATTTCGCTTAAAGTTATCATGTAGTCTGTCTAATTCTTACTCAATTATTCTGTTACTAGAAATAGTATTTATTCATATTAGCACCTTGTTCCTGTATTAACCTTTTAAATATTTGACTTCTATGACTTTATGGTTAGTCAGGATCTAGGAAAGCTCTCCTTACTCTGAAAAAAAACAGGCCCATGGCATTTATTTTCTAGAAAATCATTTATCAGTGGGAGGGTAAAGAAAATTAAGAGAGAAAAATAAAACAAGTATTATAAACGTATACAAAAATTAAAAAATCAGTCTTCAAATGCATATGTAACAGGGGAGAGTTGGTGTCAGACAGAAAGGAATTAAATTCTTAACCCCTCCTTTACTAGCTGTACTCCTGGTCTCTCTAAGGCTGTATTTCCTCCTCAGTAAAATGGATGTAATAATTTCTGTGAAATTTAAATCAGGCAAAATGTAGACGAAGTGTTGTATACTCAGTCAGCTCCTGTTAAATGTCATTCCTCCTTATTAAAATGTTTTTTCCTTAAAATTATTTCTACTCTTTGTTGTAAATGATGTTTCTCCAACCTAAGAACTTTTGTTACAAAGCTGTTCCAAAGACAGCCCGGGAAGCCCAAACCTGCAGCTATTGTCTGATTTCCAAATGGGGAGAGATTCTTCTCTGGCCTCTTTCCTCATCTCTCTGAATTAGGAAGGTGTTGGGAACAACTGAGTCTTGTTTGTATTTGTCGTGACTTCTCTCTTTGTGAGATAGTTACCTAAATTAGTCAGTAGAATATACAGACAGCAAATGAACCAGAAATGCGATAATCCCCTGCCCAGTCAGCCCTGAACTCTCTACTCCATGAGGTAGTGCTGCAACTCTCAGGAGATTGATGTGTGTGAAAGCAGTTTAAATTCTTTGCAGGAAAGTCTTCTTAGTGTCATTATTTATTCCTAGCAAGAATGAAAAGATCACAACTATTCTTATTAAAGAAAACTGTATTGAAGCTAACTGTAAACTTGTTTCTGATTGTCCAATAATGTGGAAAGGAAAAAAAAATATTGTTTCCTTCTCTCTCTCTCTCTTTTTAATGCAAACAAACTGAAACAAACCCCATCAAGTGCTCTTCTTTCCAAAGGAAAAGAATCACACACACACACACCACATTAGTTGTATGCCCTATCAGGAAATCTTGAAATGATTGATATTTAAAGTATTATCATCCCAGGTAGAAGCTCCCATTAGGACAAATTTACCAGTTAGTTGCATTTTTCCTCCTCTTTGTATTCTGCAAACACATAATGTAAACCCCAAAGAACCTGCTAGCCGACTTTCTGTTTCTCTATTCAGTGCCTTCCCCTTAGTCTCCCTACCCCTCCTCATTACCGAGCGCCAATTTGTACTTACACTCCAGCCTCTCCCCCAACCATCTCTAGTGGTGTGAAAGTAGAAAAACATCTGAGAATCTGGGCAGCCTATCAGTTTGCTGAGGTTCATTTTAGCTAATCCAGACATCCCGCACAGCAGGGGGAAAACTGCTGCATCTAGTGAAACAAGAGCATGAATAATTAAAACTCTGTTATTAATGAACTTCCAGTCGTTATGTAAATGAAACTGATTTCAAGTCTAATTTGTCAGCCTGAATTCTTTTTCTGTTCTCCCTTTGTCTAGGACAAGAACTCATCATAATGGACTTGATAATACAACACTAGCAGACCTGCTGTGTGCAGTGCCCATCTGAGTTAGAGCTTTTAGCGTGGTTAATTGATACAGTTACTCCAGAACAAGTCTATGAGGCATTTTGTGTGGCTCTAAGTTTTAAAAGCCGCTCTTTTTCCCTTTGACAGGGCTGCCTATTCTTCAGACAGACCTCATTATCATTTACCTTTACATGAGGGGTGGCATATAATTACTGCCTAGTAAATAGTTTCTTTTGCAATATCTATGATGTTCAAAGACAGCAGAGTTCAAAAAGGTCCAGGGGAAGGGAAGTCTGTAGCCTTCCGAGAATGACAAATAGCCACCAGGGAGAGAAAAGAAAAGAAAAGAAAAGAAAAGAAAAGAAAAAGGAATGCTTGACAAAGCGCAAGACCACGGAGTACCAATCGCCCACTGTTCCACCAAGTGTCACTCATGCTATTGGTGGCATTGTCCAAGTGATACCCTAATGTCTGTGGTCACATATTTCAGCTACATTGTTTAGATCTGCTGTGTTGTTTGTGAAATCATTCACTATTAAGGTGACAGCTTCAGATACGACAATCTGATTTCCTAGAGTCACAAATATTTTACACTACATAGAAGCAATAATTCTTTCAACAGAAAGCTATTCAGCAACGTCAACTCATTGAGAATTTACTGAGCTGGGATCTTTAGATTTAAATTTTGAAAATGCTCCTATATTATTTGGGGAGAAATATGTAAATTAGATATCAGAAATTAATTAGTATTTTGGAGATTTGGCACGTGACTTTTAAAAACAAAGTGTAAATAAGATAAAATAATTCATGTTTTATATATCTGTTACATTACAACAATTAATTTGGGTTTATGTTTAGAAGGAGGAAAACAATTTATCCATTCAGAAAAATCCTAAATCTTCTACACTGTAGATGCTAATTACATGATTCTTGTTAATCTAGTAAATCTGTCATTAATGGAGTTGTAGCTCACAGTAGTATATTAAGAACTAAAGAACTTTTCTAGATCCCTCAGATACTGGTGCACTGACTCCTAGGGAGTTTTCGATCCCTGTATCACATCTGCTGTTCCTTTGTGTCACTGCAATTAGAGAAGTCTTGTATGCGTTATTTAGCTCTACTATCTTTTGTTATGTTGTAACATTGCTTGGTTTATAGTACTAGAAAATAAATAGTGTCCTAATCACTTTTGTCTAATAAGCAAAGAAAGTGGGCATCTCAGCGTCTGCCTGAATGATATCCTCAGTCCTTCAGAGATCAATCATTATAGACTTGTAACTCACATTCCCCTAAAACATGTCAGGCGTCAGGCTAAACAACGGAAATAAAAATTTGAAAAAGGAACAATCATTTTCTAAAAGGGGAGAAAGATCAATTAACCAATATTTATAACTTGATGTGAAAAGCTGTATATATACCAGAGCTAAACAATTCCCATTTTAGAAAATTCATTCAAGTTACGAATATATAGTGTTCCAAAATGTATAAAGTGTGAGAGAAGCCAAAAGTAATTTGCAGGAAGCCAGGAGACACAATGCTTCAGAGAATACATCCTGTCTACTTTGTCTAATGGCAGAATATTATTGAGCCCAAGCCACTGTTCAGTGTTGGCAAGTGCAAGGGTCTGGTAATAATTTGATTCCTTTTCTCCTGGATGCATTATGTAGCAATCCTTGCCTCAATTTCCCAGCCTGCAAAAGGCACACAGTTATTAGAAAACATGCCTGATTTTCATGATGTCAAAGTATAAGATGAAAGTGTAGGTTAAATAAATTCAGTTCCCCACAGTTTCACAGGGATGTGGCTAGAGCCATGCCACCAGAGCTGGGACAACGCAGTCTGAGGGCGCCCAGCTGGACCCTGCACAAGGGAACCCCTATCTGACAGACACATATGTGAGGCTTGTCTTGAAGGGCCCCTATCTGACAGACACATATGTGAGGCTTGTCTTGAAGGGGTTTCATCCCCATTGTGCCTATCCCAGACCTTGTTGAACCACTGCTGACTTGAATTTGATAAACCCTGGAATTCCTCTAAAGCAGTCCAAACGTAAGAACTACCTACATCAAAGGACAAAACAGATGCAAGGTATGTTATGACATATAGCACACCACATCACACATGCACATACACGTATGCACACACACCTTCCTACTTTCCAGTGATACTGTGGCTCATGAAGCTAGCAACTCTATTCATTCTAATTCTTAGCCAACTCCAAAAGAAGTCATAAAAATACATAATCTGAAATTAAAGTCAATTAAACCACATTGCTTCTTCAGAAAGTTAAAAGGGACAACACACATAAGTAATAGAAATCAATTATTGTATATTCCCAGGCCTGTTCTTATAAGCTGGAGAGGTAATCAATCACTCTAGAGATTTCTACAAGGTGATTACTGTTTATTCTTTAATGATAGCGCTGTCTTCCTCTTCCTTCACACCAACCTCCATGCAGCTGCCACCTCGCAGAAGGCAAATAAGCGGCAGTTAAGAAAAAAAAAAGATGAAAGAAAGTTGGTGTTCTGCATAATGTAAACAATAAGATTGCTGAACTTCAGGCCTTTCTGTGACCTCAGGCTGCAATACTTTATGGTCCATGCTGTATGTACACATCATAACTGCTTTTCAGTAATAAATTCAGCCGTGGCTTTGAGAGGGGGCATTTCTGCATAGGGAGAATTAATGGGAAATATCTTTCTTGTAGGTGTTTAGTCCCTTAAAAGAATGATGTTATTAAGTAATAGGCAGCTGAAAAACAACATGGACCAATTAAGAATTTAAAACAACTAACATCCAGCTAAGTCTGTTTCCCCTCTTTAAAAAGAGGGGGAGGAAAGTAAAATAAAAATAAATGCTGCTGCTATTACCAAAAGCCAAAAGCACTAACCAAGAGATTTCACAGCACTTCAGTCAGAGCTACGCTAATGAATATAAGTTACCTTAGCCGGTTTTAGCTGACTTTGAAATTAAAGATCCAAACCCTTGCATGCAGGGAGAGCCAGACTTGAGCAAAATGGACTTAATAAACTCCATTGTGCCTTTAGATCCCTAGTGAGATTTCCTCCCCATCCATGACCAATCGGTATTATTTTTTTAGTGACTGGTACTTTTGTGAGCAAGATTGGGGTTTCTGGGAGTGATTAGCACTTTTCACCACTGATTGACAGGTTCAAACAAATGAGACAATAGGAGGAATCATTAGGAATTCAAATGTAAGGTTAGTGTTTGCAGTCTTTGCGATTGATTTTAATAGAAAGGAACTAACTATATGTAAGGAAAGGAATTAATGTCTAAAATGTTAACTTGTGAGATATATTTAATCTTAATCTTTTCGTTTTCAAAAAAGTTTCAGAATTGAAATTCATTAAAAATAAGAAGAAGATAGAGTAGCAGTATTTTAGGCATTCCTTCTAGAAATGCCTCCTGTCGGCCATGAAGGCATTCAGCTCTGCTTTGGGTATTTAAGACCGGAAGATTTAAATTCTTAAGAGAAAGCCTTAGAAGTAAAGGTTTAGATCTGGTTTTTTTTCGTAGATGAAGAATCTTGTAGAAAAAAAATAAATACTGTTTTTCTAAGAAAACAAATATGATGGAGCTCTCTATTATATTCAGAGAAGATTCCTTCGAGAAATAATTACAGTGAATGATTCTAGCATTGACCGGTAATTGATAATTGGCCACAAATAATTAGAGTAGAGTATCTTTCTGTACGGGTGTAAATTATGCTAATAGCTCAGCCTTGTCCCTAGGTGCTGGTGTTGGTTTCTTAAAAGTAATTTTGTTTTAAATCCACATGATAAATTTAGCATGTTATGTTTGAAATTTTAATCTTGTTTGGCATCAAAGCAAAGGCAAATAATACAGAATTAAACAAGACTAATCAAAGAAGGAAAATAAGATTCACACTATCATTTTTCAGGAAGTTTTGGTAAGAGCTGACTTCTGAGAAAAGTTTTTCTGTGACAACCATACACACCGATTGTGTTTTTTAAAAGAGCAATATCAAAGCGGAGCAAAATATGTGACTTAAACTCACCTTACAAACTTGAATAGAAGCACTTCCAACACCTCATGAGTTGTTAATATTTAAGGGATGATAGCATAAATCAGCACCGTGTGCACAAAATAATCACATCAGATTTTTATGCATATCCCGTGTGCAGCTCAGCGTTCAAGCTGCATTTTTTTAACATGTTGCCACTAATTTATGCCGTTTTCATCAACCTACCATTTTTCATTTTTCAATTGACATAGAGTTCTGTAATTTGTGTGCTCAGTATGTTAATATACTGAGATAGTAAGAGAGTACCCACTGCATCACAGTAACAAAAATAAACTGTCAGGGAGCCACAGTGGAAGTGAAAGGTCAAGAAAACAAGTACAATTGAGTGCCTAGTGTTAGGATTTGTGTGGGTCATTAATAATCCACATTCCCGTATCACGAGATGATTTCTGGCATTCTTTTTGACCAACCCACCCACCATCTACTCTTCAATTTCTCTCCAAAATTTCCAGTCATGCTCTGTGAGTGGTTCTCACACTTTGTTGCAAATTGGAATCACCTGAGGATCTTTACAGACTTCGGGGTCTTGGCTCACACCCACACATTCTGATCCCTGGGGATGGAGTGCAGCGTAGGCTTGGAGAGATGTTTATAAATTCTCCAGGAGATTCTAATGTGCAGCAAAATTTGAGAAACACTGTTACATATGTTTTTTGCCTCAGTTTTCTCTGATTTGGTCTGAAAAGACACCAGTGTCATCTCCTATAAATAGTTAAAAGAAATGGTTCTCCATCTTTAAGTTGATTGCAGACACAGGGCTCCTTGATCTGTCTTTTCTGAGAAGCATATCTGGGGAACTGCTTACAGCCTCTCATCCTCCCTCAACTTCTTTCTTATTTTCCCTTTTATACTTTTTCATCCCCTAAATTACTACAGATCAACTGTTATCCCTCTCAGTTTTCAGCGCTTATTCAATTTCCTATCTTTAGCTGTCTGTGGTGTCTTTTGCCAGTTTAAGCATGAAAAGAGTTCCTTTTCAGTGTTACCTATTTCTTTCCCTTTATCCAAAAACCCACAGGCAGGCTCTATTCGGTTCTTCAGTCTTCATCCAAGAGCTAAGTTAAGACTCTCGGTGATTTTTTTTTTTTATCTCATTATAGGGGACTTCTCTGTTTTAGACTCTAGTTTTCTGTCTCCTCCCAGCAGGCTCATTGTTTTCCTGTACAAAATGTACAAAATGCTGCTGTCAGACTTCTTGTCACTTCCCTTGCTCAGAATGAACACCTCGTCACCGTGTTTCTCAAACACATCCTATCCAATCCATCTCTCTAGTTT